CGGGGTGGGGGGGGCGCAAGGTAAGACACAAAGTCACAGGTGGTTTGGTTTTTTTTTCTTCTCCTTTGTTTATAGACTTAAAAATGTAGTTAGAGCTTTGGACAGAGACTTTGCAGAGGGAAGGAGCGCCCCTTTAACATAGTCATGTTTGATGTGATGTACTCGCTGCTTTAGGACCAAGGATTCTCCCTCCCCCCCCCCCCCCCCCCCCCCCAGGAAACCGGTTTGGGGTTTTTTTTTTTTTTTTTCCCCCCTTTTTTTTTTTTTGTTTTTTTTTGCCCATCCTTTGAAACACAAATAAAAACCCAATAAAAAGCGAACCCACCCCCTGGAGCAGCAGCGTCCGCCTCGGTAAAAATCAATAAATATCCTCCCAATGCCTCCAGCCTGGGGGGGCCCAGAGCGTGGGGGGGGGGATGTGGGGGGGTGTCACCCATGGCACATGCTGGCCCGACCCCACGCTCTGCCCTCGCCTGGGCAGCCCCCACCCCAATGGGGGGCATTTACAGGGGGACCCCCAGCTCGCCCGCAGGACCCCCTCCAGCATCCTCCTGCAGCCCCTGGCCCCTACTTCCAGTTTAGCTCCCAGGCTCCCTACAGCTCCGGGGGGGTCGTGGGCATGAGGAGGTGACTCCCCCCTCCCCAAATGACTGTCCCCCCGGCCCAGGTGGCACCGTGGTGTCCCCCAGCCGGCTGGGGGGACACCCAGCTTCAGCCCCTTCCTGGGGAGGCCGTTCCCCGGGGGATGGGAGGCTTTATTGCTTGTGAAAACCGGGAGCGAGCTGGGGGGGCCGTTATCTGCTACACAGCTCTGCCGGGGGGGCAGGACCGGCCAAGGCTCCGCTCCACCTCTGTCCCCCGACCCCCCCGGGCACCCCCAGCCCGGACCCTCCGTGGCCACCGCCTGGCACCTCACTCCTGGGAGCGAGGGGGCTCGGCCACCCCATGCTACCGGCCCCCCCCGAGCTGGGGGGGTACAGCCAGGGGACCCCACTCGCCCTCCTGGCCTTCCCGTGCTGGGGCCACCCTTCCCGTGGCACCCCGGCCACCGGGCCGGTCCCCACGCCGGCCACAGGAGGGGATGGAGCCCCGGTGGGGGCCAAGCCCCCCCTGTGCCGGGGTCTCTCCCCCTCACACTGGGCCTAGACAGGGCTGTGGTCGGGGGGGGCATCGCTGGCCGCCACGGCCACCATGGGCTCGGGGCTCTCTCCCGCTTTCCTCAAGTGGCCGTAGAGCCGCTCCTCCAGCCCCCCGGCGATCTTGTCCATCAGCTCCGAGCCCGAGCCCAGCCCCAGGCACCTCCCGGGGCCGGGGCAGTCATCGTCCTCCCCGGGGGGCTCGGAGCCGGCCTTGGGCTCGGGGGCCACCTCTCCGGGCTCCTCCACGATCACCTGGATCTCGGGGTCGGGCAGGGCCGGGGCCGGGGGCACCCCCTCGGCCGCCTCCGCCGCCTCCTCGTCGCCGGCGCTGACGATGCGGGGCAGGGGGCTGTGGAAGCGGGCGTCCAGGGGGTAGTTGGCGCTGTCGCCGCGGCGCAGGGGCGTGCGGTGCCGCTCCAGCGCGGGGTAGCGCACGCCGGGGTCGCTGTACTGCTTGGCGTGCTGCCACTGCTTGCGGAGGTGGGTGCGGGAGCGGTGCTTCCCCCGCAGCGGCGACTCGTCGAACTGGGGGTCGTGGCGCACGAAGGCGTTGAACAGGGCGTCCGTCTTCTCGTCGATGCTGTAATCCCTCCTGGGCAGCACCTCCCGCCCCGGGAACATCTGCCCGTAGGGGGACCAGGCCAGGGGGCTGTGGGGACGGAGGGAGCCCCCACCCACTGCACCCCGGGCCGTGCTCCCCTCCTCCTCCTCCTCCTCCTCATCTTCCTCCTCCTCTTCCTCCGGCTCCCGGCCCTCGAAGCTCTCGAAGATGGTGCCTTTCCGCCCCGCGCTGGTGAAGCAAATGCGCTTCTCGGAGGCCGTCTGGTCCTTGGGGGGCCCCTCCTCGCCCCCCCGGCTGGGGGCCTCGATGGAGGCGTAGCCGCTGTCCATCTGCAGCAGCTTGCGGGTGCCGGGCTCCGACTCCTCCGGCTTGGGCCGACCCCAGAGCTTCTCCTCGGGGCCTTCGGCCTCGTCCAGGGAGGAGGAGGGGCAGGGGGCCACGCCGCCGGCGGAGGAGACGCTGTCGCCGCCGTCGCTGCGCACCGAGTCCTGGTCGTTGCTCCGCTCGGAGGAGGCGTAGAGCTCCAGCGAGGCGCGCAGGCTCCAGATGTCGTGGTAGGCGCTGGGCTGCTCCGGGACACCGGCCTCGCCGGGGCTGCCCGCGCCCCCCTCGCCCGGCTCTAGCCTGCGGGACCACCCGGCGTCACGGCGGGGACGGGGATGGGGACAACCCGGCCAGCAGCGGGCAGGGGAAGCGCCAACCCAGCCCCCACGGGTCCCCCATGCTGCCCTCACCACCCTGCCCATGCCCCCAGCTGCCTCCCCCCTCACACCCCTCACCCCCCGCCATCTCCCCACCAAACCCGCGCAAAGGTGGGACCCCCCCCATGCACGGGGCAGCACTCCCCCCACCGGTGCCATCCCCGTGCCCATCCCCCCCATCCCCATCCCCTCTATCTACTG